TGCTCATTAATCCACATATCTACGTCTAATCCCTCAAATGAAGACGTTCCCGAGACATTAGTTTCCACAGTGAACTTGTTACATTCCGCAGGTGGAGTCCATCGACCCGTCGGTATTACTTAACCCTCATTGACGATTCAAATTGGCACTGAGGAATGTCCAGCTCAAACCAAAGTGTAAACCCGATAAATTAAGTATTCAAGTTCTGAAAGAGGCCCCACTGATCGTTGAATAATTGGTGTGAATCATGAGCTGTCAGTTTTCTGAATGAGCCAATGAAGTGATTTTCAAGTAGATGGACGGTGGTACGAGGGCCCCCTCGAAGTTGACTCGTCACTCGTGATGACAACAAATACAGCTACCTCGTTATCCAATAATTCGATTATTCACGCGCGACCGCTTGTCTGGCGAAACTATTCCAAAGGACGGTGCGGGGGGGGGGGGGGGAATAGCATTTGAAGGCATAATGCGGATGAATGAGAGATGAAGGTGGTGATGAGGGAGGAGGAGCACACCTTTCACTTTGCCTATTGTCCCAATAACACTTCTAGAATACACGGAGAAATAAGCGATCCATTGTTCGATGACTGCGGGGAGTCGAGTGTTGCAGCACGTAGCAGGTTTTCATGGTGCGACAGTTAACAACGCTGGATGATGCGGCAAACGCTCACCGAAACTTCCCAATGGAGTTATTATATTAACCAAGTTGGTCTAGATGGTGGCGATAAGCTTGTCGGTTAGTAGTTGGATCAATAGATGGAATGAAATTGCAATGATTCGATTCTGCTTTTATTTGGATTGGGATTTGTGTGATATCATCGGGCAGCGCGTGGGTCAAGTGATCGATCAGAAGTAACAAACAGCATTGAGTTTGAAACATTGGGAAACTCCGGATTTTTATTTGTCGGTCGTAATTTATTTCAGCATTGTTTTCCAGAAAAACAAGACAATGTAATGTGAATGAAGTGAATTATTGGAGTAGGAAAAAAAGTCTTATTTTCTGTTGATTTTTTTCACCACATTGCCAATTTTCAATTACGAAATTTCTTGCAATTTCAGTGGAACTTTTATTTTTTGATGAAAATTTTCAAGAAACTCTGAAAATGTTTTGCCTGCCATAAAGTTATTAATTTAGGCGCTTATCTATGTTTAATTTGTCAAGTGATCGATCGCGAAAAACAGACAGTATTGATTTTGAAACATTGGGAAATTGCGGATTTTTGTTTGGCCGTTGTAATTTATATTTCGGCATTGTTTTCCAGAAAAACAAGACAACGGGATGTGAATGAAGTGAATTATTGGAGTAGGAAAAAACGTCATTCATTTTCCGTCGATTTTTTTCAGCAAATTGTCAATTTTCAATTAATAAATTTCTTGGAATTTCAATGGAACTGTTATCTGATGAAAATTTCCAAGAAACTGAAAATTTAAATGCAATCGACGTTCTCGACGATAATTTAAATAATTTGAGAATAGAGAACAGTTTTTTTTCAGAATAAAAATGCACCTGAAGAGGAATGCTTTGTGCATTCGAAACGTTGTGAATTTAACAAGTTAAATTTTTCATGTTGATTACTGCTGTTGACTGAAACATGGCCCAGAAGAGTTTAAAAATTCTGAAAATGTTTTACCTGTCATAAAGTTACTAATTCAAATTAAACCGTCGGCGAGAGACTAGTTATCACAGCGAACTTGTTACATTCCGCGAGTGGTGTCCAACGACCCGTCGGTATCACTCAATTCTCATCAATAAAAGGAATAGACTGGCAATGATTCCGATTTTGATTTTATTTAAAAATTGATTTTAAAAGAATAGGATTCAATGGATTTTTATTTGTCAGTCGTAGTTTATATTTCATTTTTTTCCCAGAAAAACAAGACAATGGAATGTAAATGAAGTGGAAAATTGCCGTACAAAAAAAGATATTCATTTTCCATTGATTTTTTAAATCAAATAGTCAATTTTCAATTACGACATTTCTTGCAACGTCAGTGCAACTGTTATACGATGAAAATTTCCAAGAAATGTGGCGAAAATGTCAGCTAAAATGTTCTTTAATTTCTATAATTTCTGTAATTTCAATTTGAAATTAACGGAGAGCAATTGTCTTAATGTTGATAACTGGAATTTCAAGAAATGCTGAAAATGTCTTGCCTCTCATAAAGTTACTCATTGAGACACCTATCTACGTTTAATTTGTCAAATTAAGACGTCGTCGAGAGACTAGTCACCGCAGCGAACTTGTTACATTCCGCAAGTGGTGTCCAACGACCCGCCGGTATCACTCAATTCTCATCAATAGAAGGAATGAAATTGCAATGATTCCCATTCTGCTTCTAGCATTTGCATTGGGCTTTGTGTGATATCATCGGGCAGCTCACGGGTCACGTGATCGATGAGAAATAGCAAACAGCATTGATTTTAAAACATTGGGAAACAGTGGATTTTTATTTGTAATTCGCAATTTATATTTTATTTTTTTCCCAAAAAAACAAGGCACTGTGATGCAAATGAAGTGGAAAATTGCAGTAGGAAAAAAAAACCATTCATTTTCTATTGATTTTATTCATCAAATTGTCAATTTGCAATTACGAAATTCCTTGCAATTTCAATGGAACTGTTATATGAGAAAAATTTCCAACAGACGTACTGGATATTTCGGCCAAAAATTTATTTAATTGCTTTCATTTTAAATTACCACAGAACAAATGTCTGGAACACAGAAATTTTTTGAAATTTCAGTCTCAGAGTCATCTGAATTCAATTTCAAATGAAAGGTTCTAAAAAAGTTCTCATTCATCTTGAAAATTCAAGAAAATTGAGTTTTTGATGTTGAACGATCATTAACTTTTCAATGAAGTCGTGAATTTCCAAACTTTATCATGAAAATTCAATATCATATACAGTTCAATTTTCAAAGATTCAGAATTTAAAAAAGTAGGTGCCTGAATTTTCAGAATTTTCAAGGGTTTTCAGTGCCGTCTGGTAATGTCTGGCCTATCATAGATTTACTCATTGAGACACCTGTTCGCATTTAATTTGTCAAATTAAGACGTCGTCGAGAGTCTAGTTACCGCAGCGAACTTGTTACATTCCGCAAGTGGTGTCCAACGACCCGCCGGTATCACTCAATTCTCATCAATAGAAGGAATGAAATTGCAATGATTCCCATTCTGCTTCTAGCATTTGCATTGGGCTTTGTGTGATATCATCGGGCAGCTCACGGGTCACGTGATCGATGAGAAATAGCAAACAGCATTGATTTTAAAACATTGGGAAACAGTGGATTTTTATTTGTAATTCGCAATTTATATTTTATTTTTTTCCCAAAAAAACAAGGCACTGTGATGCAAATGAAGTGGAAAATTGCAGTAGGAAAAAAAACCATTCATTTTCTATTGATTTTATTCATCAAATTGTCAATTTGCAATTACGAAATTCCTTGCAATTTCAATGGAACTTTTATATGAGAAAAATTTCCAAGAGACGTACTGGATATTTCGGCCAAAAATTTATTTAATTGCTTTCATTTTAAATTACCACAGAACAAATGTCTGGAACACAGAAATTTTTTGAAATTTCAGTCTCAGAGTCATCTGAATTCAATTTCAAATGAAAGGTTCTAAAAAAGTTCTCATTCATCTTGAAAATTCAAGAAAATTGAGTTTTTGATGTTGAACGATCATTAACTTTTCAATGAAGTCGTGAATTTCCAAACTTTATCATGAAAATTCAATATCATATACAGTTCAATTTTCAAAGATTCAGAATTTAAAAAAGTAGGTGCCTGAATTTTCAGAATTTTCAAGGGTTTTCAGTGCCGTCTGGTAATGTCTGGCCTATCATAGATTTACTCATTGAGACACCTGTTCGCATTTAATTTGTCAAATTAAGACGTCGTCGAGAGTCTAGTTACCGCAGCGAACTTGTTACATTCCGCAAGTGGTGTCCAACGACCCGCCGGTATCACTCAATTCTCATCAATAGAAGGAATGAAATTGCAATGATTCCCATTCTGCTTCTAGCATTTGCATTGGGCTTTGTGTGATATCATCGGGCAGCTCACGGGTCACGTGATCGATGAGAAATAGCAAACAGCATTGATTTTAAAACATTGGGAAACAGTGGATTTTTATTTGTAATTCGCAATTTATATTTTATTTTTTTCCCAAAAAAACAAGGCACTGTGATGCAAATGAAGTGGAAAATTGCAGTAGGAAAAAAAAACCATTCATTTTCTATTGATTTTATTCATCAAATTGTCAATTTGCAATTACGAAATTCCTTGCAATTTCAATGGAACTGTTATATGAGAAAAATTTCCAACAGACGTACTGGATATTTCGGCCAAAAATTTATTTAATTGCTTTCATTTTAAATTACCACAGAACAAATGTCTGGAACACAGAAATTTTTTGAAATTTCAGTCTCAGAGTCATCTGAATTCAATTTCAAATGAAAGGTTCTAAAAAAGTTCTCATTCATCTTGAAAATTCAAGAAAATTGAGTTTTTGATGTTGAACGATCATTAACTTTTCAATGAAGTCGTGAATTTCCAAACTTTATCATGAAAATTCAATATCATATACAGTTCAATTTTCAATAGATTCAGAATTTAAAAAAGTAGGTGCCTGAATTTTCAGAATTTTCAAGGGTTTTCAGTGCCGTCTCGTAATGTCGGGCCTATCATAGATTTACTCATTGAGACACCTGTTCGCATTTAATTTGTCAAATTAAGACGTCGTCGAGAGTCTAGTTTCCGCAGTGAGCTTGTTACATTCCGCAAGTGGTGTCGAACGATCCGTCGGTACCACTTAACCCTCATTAATCAAAGGATTGAAATTGCAACGATTCGATTCAGCGCTCATTGACTTGTGATTTGCGTGATATCATCGGGCCGCGAATGGGTCAAGTGATCGATCAGAAATAACAAACACCATTGATTTTAAAACATTTGAAAACAGTGGATTTTTATTTGTCAGTCATAATTTATATTTCAGTTCTCTTTGAACACAGAATTGAGTGTGTTTTTGTTTCAGAAAAACAAGACAATGTTATATGAATGAAGTGAACAATTGGAGTAGGAAAAAAAGTCATTTATTTTTTGCTTGAAACACCTGTGTTTCGATTGGAAATATAAAACGATTAATTTACAGGCTGAATACGACAATCCCCGCGTGCACGGATATGTATATAATATTTGTTAACAATCGTTTTGGGGAGTCGACGCCCTCGCACAGTAGAGACTGTCGAATTCTATTGAGGACTTCGTTAAAAAATAAACAACGTAATGGTTTTGCATATTGTTTGCTGAAAAAATTGACGATTTGTCGGAGTAATTGTTTTTTTCTGGTTGGCGAGAATAATTTGACCGAGTGGAAGTTTAATTAAAATTGTCCTGTTATTCTATCCCCGCAAAAAAGCAGAGAAATGATGTTTCAACCGGAATTGTTTCTTTTTTTTACCAAAGCCCTCAATTCTCATAATATCAGAATAAATAAAAAATAAATCCTACTTTACAGTTTCACATTTGACATTTCGTTTTTTTCTCTCAATTTCGATAGTAAAATTTGCTTTCTCGCCCTCGCACTAATTAAAACTCGATCGAACAAAAAAAAAATTTCAAATAAAAAATAATTAGAGAGTGATATCACGACGGGTTTTAAATTCAAACCCTCTTTAAGAAGCTATACACTTGTAAATAGCGCCTCATAAGTACGTCTCTGTCATTTCAATTTAATATGTTAATGTGACAGTTTTATTATCTCACAGAATAACCTCTCACAATTGTCACAAACACCTTTTACTTTTTGTCTCTAACTTTCATTACCCTTCGCCTGGCATCTTTATGCGCCAGTTATGTACGATGAAACATTAACTCGTTGTTCACGATTCAATCGTAAACCCCTGACATTAAGTAACTCATGCACAATTTGATATCATTAATAATGAGACGTTGAACAAAAATAAAAAGGAAATCAGCAACGCGAGACTCGAGTGTTATTTAAATTCTCTTGTCCTCTATTTACATTTTATTAAATCTATCTATTGAACTAACCGATCAAAATTTACAAGAATTCAAACAAATATATATATTTATCTCCTCACACTGACAAAGTTCCCTCTCACCCATTCATTTTCCCCCCTCAAACTCGTCAAACGTCATAAAGCACTCATTCTCACCGGATCGTTCGCATTTTTAATATTCGTTCTATATACAGACTTTAGTGTGCCGGGCACATTTATTTAAAACACTCCAAATTGTCCATTCTCCGTTATCCAATAATCGAACATCATGACTATTTACACTCCACACACGTATTGCACTGTGCAGTGACTCTTAATGGAACCTTACACATACAGATATATACTCATATATATTCATTCATTTATTTTATTCGTGTAGATGATTTACGTACTGTCCACTGATTGGCTCCATCTCACTCACTCCCGAATAATAAATTATCAATTTATCGATAATTACACAGTCCGGGGTACGGCCAATCGGTCACTAGTACGGAATAATATAACCAGTCTATGTTGAATAATTGATTCATATGTGAACAGCAACACTGCGCGCACCACTAGTTTGATTATTATGCTGCCGTCGGACAGGTGGTGGTTGTCTCCTCTGATTGTTGGTTCTCTGATTGTTTGGCACATCGGGCAGGGCGAATCTCAATTTCTCCCAAAATAGTTTATCACCCCATTGCAAATAGGTGTTTGTCTTGAGGTACAGTCTTATGTCTGGATCAAGATCCCTCTGGGGTACATCCCCAACGAGAACTAGTATGAGTCTGCGTCGTCTGTCACGAAGCACTTGATGATGCGCCGACTTGAAGTCAAACCGACACCACTCGGATTTAATGAAATTCTCCGACAGAACCATTATTGTTCTCCTCGAAGATTCAACAGCTTGAACAATGGTATCAGCTATGAAACTACCAACCGGAAAATCACGATAATGTAAACACAATTTGTAGGAGGGATTTCCCATTTCTAATACTGGCGCTAATTCTTCAGCGACAAAGGCCTCGTCCTTGGAGCTGTAGCTGACGAATGCGTCAAACAATTTGTCACGATCCTCCCTGTCGAATTCTGTACTCCGGTAGAATATCCTCACCCCAAATCGCGAGTGAAACCACACGCGAAATTCCTGCCTGAAGATGAATATGAGCATTCCAAGTAGAACAATAACGAGAAATACAGCCAGTGTGGAGACAAGCAGAGGCAAATAATCCTGAAGTGCTTGTCTCTCGATAATGGTCTTAGTTAGATTGCCCTGGATACCGTTGTCAATACTAGCGAGTCCGGTGCACATCGAACTGTCATTGGATGTACCCTCGATCACGGGAAAGCCAAACTCATTGTCCCTGAAGACCTCCTCTCCGTATGCCTCCAACTCGGTGACATTCAACACGCACCTGATTTCAGATACATCGACAACACGATTTCTCGCTGCAAGTATCCATTCCCGATAAACCTCAAGATAGTCGCACTCGCATGACCAGGGATTTCGCGAGAGGCTCACTTCGACAGACGCTGGTAGGGACCAGACCGCCAAGGTCGTAAGGCGGTTGCCCTGCAGCCTAAGGACCTTCAGTGATCGGAGAGGTGAGAATGTGTTGTTAGCGATTGCCGAGATCTCATTGCCGTGTAGATAAAGTGATCGAAGATTGTCAAGACCCTCGAACTCGTGTCCACGTAGTTCGTGAATCCTGTTGTCCTGGAGATGAAGATCCTGAAGATCTCGCAGACCATTGAACGATCTGTTCTGGACAATTTCAATGTTCGAGGCATTGAGAAAAAGTACTTTCAACTTTTTACGACCAATGAACGCATGACTGGAGATGATTCTCAGGTCATTGCCATCGAGATAGAGTTTTGTTGCATCCATGGGTATCTGCTCGGGGAGTCGGTTGACGTGACCCCCGGCTGAACAATCCACAACATTTGCCGACCACGATTGATCGTGGTAACAAGTGCAATTATTCGGACAGGTCATTTCACAATCACAAGCATCAAAGTCACAGCAATGACAGAGAGCAAAACAGTGTGACTCATACTTGCACAGAAACTGTGAGTGCGATGCCTCAACAAGTGGCACGTACATGCGTTCACGGTCGTACAAGAGTTTGCAGAATATACTCTCAAGATCCATCACTTGTGGATGTATGCGTGACTGGTTTTGCCTGTTGACGCGTTGTAGCCATTCCATGGTGCAGTCGCAAAGATAATGGTTGTCACCGATGTAGAATTCAGGAAGCGGTTTGTCCGGTGGTACAGCACTTATTCTCAATGCGTATGTCTCAAGATTCTGTATTCTATTACCCTTGAGATCGACTCTCGTGAGATTGGGCTTTTTGAAAAATGCGTAACTCTGCACCTTTGATATGAGATTGTCGTTGAGGAATAGTACCTCAACACTCATGGGTATTGCATTTCCCGTTATCTCGGTCAATTTGTTCTCACTAGCATCGAAGGTACTTAGCTGAAGTTGCGTCTCGATCTCGAAGTAATTGCCCAGCTCGCTAATCTCATTTGCGTGTATATCCAACCACTGTAATCCCGTTGGTATCATAGCATAGTCAAACCACTTGAGTTTATTATCACTAACATTTAACCACACTAAATTCGGTAGATTGGCAAACAGTCCAGTTATATCAGTCAATTGATTGCCATCTAAACGAATAGCACGTAGATTAGTATTGTCATCAAATGCACCGGGCTCGATATATTGTATCCGGTTGCGCGACAGGTTGAGTATCTTGAGCTCTTTAATCTTCTCGAATATGCCTTTAGTGAGATTGCCAATGTGATTCTCAGTCAGCCTGAGGCCATACAACTGTGACACGTGGTCGAAGGTACCAGTGGGTATCTCCGAAATGAGGTTTTCACCGAGATCGAGGGTGCGCAACAGAGGCGTGGCTTTGAGTGCATCCGGCACGGCCGTCAGTCGGTTACCGTTAAGATGCAAGTCCTGAAGAGACGAGGCATTTCGTAACGAGCTTGGATGAAGTGCATTGAGTCTGTTATTATCCAACGAGAGGAGACTCAGCACGTACAAGCCGCTCAGAGTAGTTGCGTCGATAACCGTCAACTGATTATCGCTCAGTACGAGAGTGTGCAAATTGTAGAGCGCTGAGAATGTATTCTCAGACAGTGTCTCTATGAGATTCTCCTGAAGTCGTAGAATTTGCAAACTGTAAAGATCCCTGAATACAGCTGGCTCTAGTCTGCTTATTCTGTTGCTCGATAAATCCAGTACAACGAGTCTAACTAGGCCCGTAAATGTCGCGGCATTTACCCACTCGGTTGTTAATTCGTTCATACTCAGGTCGAGCACCAATAGCTGGGTGAGATCGTTGAATAAACCAGGTGGTAAGACATTCAACGAGTTATTTTGCAGGTGAATTTCTTTGATGTTTCGCGCATCGTTGAACAACTCTGGTGGTAAACTCGACAGACGATTGTCCGTGAGTTTGAGTACAACCAACGAGGATAGACTCTCGAAGGCACGATCGGCCATAAAGCTAATGGCATTGCTCCGTAGATCAAGACTTTGTAACCGAGCTAGACCGGAAAATGCAGCTGTTGGTAGGGTCTCAATGCTGTTATTACTGAGATCCAATTCACGTAAATTGCTGCCACAACGTCCAGCACTAGCGCCAAAATGAAAGCTCGATACTTCACGAAGGCGATTTTTAGTCAAGTTGAGAACCTCTAGATTGTGCAGTGAGCACAGACTACCCTCCGGCAAATTCCACATATTATTTTCTCCAAGGTCCAGTCTCTCAAGCTTGGATAACTCCTCGGTAAAAGCTCTTGTGGATACGTCCAAAGCCATTGCTGACCAATCAGTATTATGAGTACGAACAGTGAGATTCCGCAGCTCTTTGAGACCCTTGAACGCATCATCGGACAAATTTCCAATCTTGCAGTACTCAATGACAAGTTCACGGAGTTCAATCAGCGGTCTGAAGCTACCAGCGCTCAGTGAACTCTGATAGAAAAGAGCATCGCTACACTCTAACCGTAGTCGGACAGTGTGCTGTGGCTGTATAACACTGAAATTTGTATTTTCAAGTTCACTATTGATAGTTCGTAAACGACAAACGAGGGAGACATCGTCTTCACTGTCACCCGTTGCCACCCATTTGCACTCGTCCGGTGCTTTGTACCTCAGTGCTTTGCTCAGTGAGGCACCAAGCGAGCCGAATATTGTACCGAGTAGTATTGCCAGAAAAGCAGGATTCCCCTGCATCTTTACATGAAAACCCACTCAGACGGCTCTTATTATTCCATTAAAGACGGACCCCTTTGATGATTTATCGTCTGACACGATTAATTCCATCTATACTCCCATTAGAATCAGCATTCACCCACTGACATTGTCACTTCAACCACCTCAACTCTCAACATATCACTTGTTTATTAATTCCAAATTGCTGAAACTTGAATCTTTTCAAATAGCACAGACACAAAATCACTTTATATCCAGAATAATCCCATCTCGTTTTCTCACAGCACAAGTTAAGTATCCAGTGATAAAGGGGGGCTGGTTGAAATCCGTTATACTAACTACAGCTATAAAACGAAAGGTAAAGCCACGGTGCTCGAAGAGAACGATCGAGCAAGGATCCAGCAAGATCCACTGTTCTTCGAGGACTGGTTGGTAGATCGTGCTGGTGTTAGCCGGGCCCCGCGTACCGTGGGGCCCCCTCTTCCTCCGCCACTTCTCCGCTCGACCGCCTCTCACGCCTCGCCTCCCTCACCACTCCTCCCATCGGTCTTCTCGTCATAGTCCCCCTTCACCCGCCGCCCCGTCCCCCGCCGATTCCACCTCTCTTACCTGGGCCCCGGCGACTTGGTGAGGCCTATAAAAACAAGACAGGTACACTTCGCATGGCCCTTACAGTGGCTCTTGAGCGCTTGGCTTCTCTCCTCATTCTTAGTCTCTTCGTCAGGCCTATCTAACCTCACTCGTACATTTTCGCATTAACTCCATGAATTGTATTGTAATGTTTTATACGTATTGTTGGAATACTAGTCTTGACGGGAGATCAATGGGAAGTGTACACAAAGGAAGGCTCAGTCTCCTTCCTTGTTGAATTTTACTACGAATTTTTGGATAGAATTTTTGCCAGTTTTTGGATAATTTTATCGAGTGGCTGCTTCGGCCGGAATGTCCCGAGGGCTCCAGAATTTTTGGAATTTTTTGATAGGTTTGGTGCGTAGCAACGAGAGGGAGAAGTTTTGCAGGTTAAATTAATTTATTGTAGAAGTTATCCCAATTTTTGATTTGCAGGAAATCGTGAGGGCGATTTTCTACAATTTTGGAGTACAAGGGGCACTTGGAAAACTTAATGAAGACTCGAAATTTCATTTCTTGAATTTTTAACTAACTGGAAACTTATCATGATTTGATGCTCAATACTCGGATTTCTATTGAATGCAACAGTTGTTTTCGAATGTTCAGTATTGTAAATTTGAAGATGAATTGGTCATTGAATCTTCTCTGTCGTCTTGGACATTTAACCGGTACACTTGGAAATTAAGATTTACTAAATTTAAGTTAAGATTGACTAAGATTTCTTAAAAATCTTTATCAAGTGACAGTTTCACTGAAATTCTATTGATTGAAACTTCAAACAAATGGCGGAATTTACATCCTTTTGCGCTTAAACATTTGATTGAATTTTCAATGAACTTTCAAATTCTGTTTTTCCCTTTAAATTAAATGCGCTGTTACTCTTCTGAAAGATACTACTTAGCGTTCCATGCAATTTAAAAATTTTCCTATCAGTGAAATTTCAATTTTTTATACTTCAATGACCGGTTGAATTCTGCAACATTCGAAAATTATTAATTCTCCCTTCGAATGATCTGAAAATCGATAAAATACTTGATTTTTCATTTCAATTATTCTGTAAAAATTCGAAAAAATCAGGAAAATTCAGTGAAAATTTGAAAATTTATGTCATTTAATTCTAAATATTCCGGTTCCATTGAAAATTCGATCAAGTTGTGGAATTTCCGTCTCACTCCCACTGAAACTCTCCTGAATTTCCTTCAATTCTACCTAAAACTTGAAATTTCATAACCATTTTCCCCTAAAACGGCTCCAGTGTCACTCTCACAACAAATAAAATCTCATTTTCCATGAAATTTCGGAAAATTTCCAACAGTGCGGCCCCTGATTGCTTGGCTTCTCGCCCCATTCTCAGTCTCTTCGTCAAGCCCATCTAACGTCACTCGTACATTTTCGCATAAACTCCGTGAATTGTATTGTAATGTTTTATCCCCATTGTCAGAGTACTAGTCTCAACGTAAGATCACTGTGAAGTATACACAAAGGAAGACTCCAGTCTCCCTCCCTTGAATTTCCGTCGAATTCTCCATAAGGCGTGAAGATCCCGTGATGAATCCCGTAATGACATCTTCCCAATGAGTGAACATGGGAGTATTTCATGCCTTCAAATGAACCGGCGTGTGCTGTTGACAATGGGTTAAGTTTTCTTCTTCAACGTAACGGTATTACCGAAGCCAACGCCTCCTGTCTTTCTTTCCTATTCTCTCTTCATCACCACAAAAAGCCATTTCAGACGCAGTTCACTGGGTTTCTACGTGAACGCGAACAAAAGATTGATAAAGGGACACCTTACTCAACTGTCACGTAGTGTGGCCATTCATTCCCATTTCTAAACGCGGCTCGTTACTCACCCACTACCTGCACTGTCGACTTCTCCAGCCGTCTTGTTTCATCCAGTGTACAAGACGCGCGGGGGAATCCACCTGACGCGGTACAAAGTGTCTCATCATTTCGAGCATTTTATTAATTACGAAATTTGAAGGTGCGACGCTTGATGTCTCGCTGATGACTAATAAACATACCTAACTCGGGGTGTGAAACAATCTGGCGCGTTGCATTGGTGTTCGCCACTGTGAGGAGATGCGCTAAGTGGTCCCCCATGGCGCAGCCTACCCCCTGTCAAGAGTGGACCCTCTTCGGGCCGTGCATCCACCGCTTTTAAACATATAGTGCAGGGGTTTGACGGGTTTTCAGGCGTTTTTATCATTATTCGCATTTTCATTTCTTCATTCACTTTTTGAAGTTTTTGAAAATTGCAGTCAGTGTCGTCTGAATTCTCGATTTTGTGAGTTTGAATTCAGTTTCAGATGAAAATATTCATAAAATTTGTCGTTCATCTTGAAAATAAATGAAGAATACAAATGAAGAAATACAGGAATTTTATATAACTTTGTCATGGCTAAAATTCAAGCTTTAATAAGAGTAATTAAGAGTAATTTTCCAACAGTTCTATGAACTTTTGGCTCGATTTTTCGGTAGACTTACTGGAAATTTGTATCAAGTGACAGTTTCACGGGAATTTCAAGGCATTTCGTCTTTGAAAATTCATAGTTTAATGAGTTGCTTAACAGGTTCATTAACAGGTTGATTATCCCATGGAACGGAATAGAAATCAAGAAAATTCTGGTAAATATATTCTAGCATAATTTGGCTCTGAATATTCATGTTTCATGTCAAAGTAGCAGGTGCAAATGCTCAAATTTGTAAATTTGAACTTATGTTGAAGTCAAATTGTTCATTAAATTTTTTATTTTTTATTCATTCTTGAAAAATTAACAATACTTAAAAATTTTTAGTTGAAATCCGATATACTTTTTGGAAATTTTTATCGCAGTTTTATTGCTCTTAAATTTCAAGGGATTTCGTTATTGAAAAATCAGAATTTTATGAAAAAAAAGACTTTCTCTCCCTAAAGAATTTCTCTTTGTGTAAAAATATTCATGAATTTTCAATGAATTGAAACTTCATCGTACTTCGACCCTAAATATACAATTTCATTGGAAATCCAAATAAATTGAGGAATTCCCACCTCAGTGCTATTAAAAAATTTCTAATTTCATTGATTTTTCAGTGAAACCTCAAATGTCACGATTTTTCCCTTCAATTGTCAACCCATCAGGAAATTATATATAAATCCCTCACTGTTAAAAATTCGAGAGTAATTTTGCAACAGTCCATGTGCACTTTCCTTGCGCTCGTCAAATTTTCGTTGTTCTCCACCTCAAAACCCGCCAAATCCACTCACCTCTTCCCGCACCCAGCGCGCAAAAACCCCCGTCGACTCCCATACCCATCCTCCCCTCATAACGAACCATGACGTTATCCCATTCTCCTCACCTCCCTTCATTTGTCATCCTCATCTTATTCAAATGAGCCCCCAAGATTTACTCACCTCGCACTTTTCATTATCAACCACGAGCCACCCGTGACCCCTCGCAATCCGTAACGACTGAAATTATCAGTTTACGAATGGGTTAACACGTTCCAGATAATCCAGTGACACCACGAACCCTGTCATTACCACCAGGTCACCGTTCCCCACACCTTATCACCCGATACCACACACGTATGTTATCCCTAATTACAAAAAAAATGTCGAAAGCGACAATTTAACGAGCATCCGACATGCAAATTGTGGTGTATAATTTTCTCGATATGTTGAAAAGATACAATTTCACACGTTATTCATCTGCTCCAAGATAGATAGCGTCACGCGCTCAGCGGAATATAATGGGTCCGAGAGGCAGGAGCGAAAAAAAAAAAGAAAACCAAAGTATGTTTCAATGTTCTTGCTGCGGTGATACGCCTGACCGACACCGTGTCATCTACTTGTACGTACAGAACTTAAACTCGAAGGATGGTGAAGAATAGGTGGGAGAAAAGTAACGAGAGTTGTCCACTGGTGCCCCCTCTGAGAATGAGAGAGGCTGATTGCACGACAGTCGGTCATAATTACGCATCAAGCACAAGGGCCTAAGTACACGCAATAGTGACAAGCCGGGGATACATTCCCCGTCCAGGCGTGCACTGTCAAAAATTTCTACAAAATAAGANCTGCATGTTAAACGACTGATTTGTGTAACTTTTACATTTGACATTTTCGTTTATTCCGTTTCAGGAAATTTTTCAAATATATATTTTGTAACTATTTATCTATACTGTAACTGCCATTATTCGTATCTCAAAATGTATAAAAAAAATATAATAAAAAAAATATCTGTAAACGATTCTTTTCATTACTTAATTTGGACCTTAAGATAATCTGAAATTTAGAATTATTCAGTAATTTTCGTAGGCGGAAATAAATCAAAATTGTCTATGGATACTAATTTTGTAGATCCCAATTCCATGAATTTTCGAGAAAGCACCCAAGTTTGTTGTCAACATTGACA